AATTTTTTACCTCAGGTCAATTTTCAAGGTCAGAGGTCAAGGTCAAAGGCCAAAACCGGCACTTGTGTAGTGATCTCAAAGTAAGCCTTCTAGAGGACGGCAGGCTGCATCAAACCGGCAAAATTGGGTGTCAAACGAAAGAAGAGAATCTGAGGATTCTGAAAATGTGCTCCAAATCAAAGGTCAAGGTCAAGGTCACGCTCAAAATTGACCTCAAACTTGGCACTTTTTCGCAAATCTTGCGTGCTAGTTTCCAAGATGTTTTGAAATGTTTTGAGGCTTATCAGTTCCCTATTTGTGGTTCATCTTACGATACAAGGCTGCTCAAAGGTCAAGGTCACAGAAGAGTATCCCTGCTAGAGGCTATTTCACTGATTCAAGTTAGTAATAATAAATAAGACAATTTTGCCATCCGGAAGCTCTAAATGAAGGCTTAGAGGAAAATAGCTGTCAGATTCGTGATCAGCGGGTACAAATCCATCATAAACGACCTTCAATGTGTCAAGGTCAACCAGAGGTCATTCGAGGTCACATGAGGTCAACATGAAACTTGACCTTTTCCGAACAAAATATACATCATTCGACGCGGCTTGACAAGGCGAATGCGATGGTACCACTGCCGTAGCTCTAGGACCATTTTTGTCGAAGTTATTTGCGAAAAACTAAAACCACATTTCGGGGTCGTTGACCTGACCTCTGACCTCAGGTCACCAAAACTATTTTTCCATTTTTCTCTAGCTCAAACGCTACACAGCCGTGCTCGTAATTTGTCTTTATCTCTAAAACTCTATTTTTAGCAGCTATTTGAAGTTTGCGTCTGTGACGCCGAAGTTTGCCGTGCAGGGGTCTAGAAAAATGGACCTTGTGACGTCATCAAGGGGGCTAGGTCCAAATTTTTTACTTCAGAAGATGTCAAATTGATGGGAGAAAAGGTACTGAAAGTTTCGCCTTCCTATCCCTAAGCGTTCGGGAGTTATCGCAAATATTCGCCAGGGGGGGGCGAAAAACGCCCCCCCCGGGCCCGCGAGGGTTAAGGACACTAAATGATGACCCGCGTTACAGTTTAACTCGGGAGACTGTATTCCGTGCTACCGTCGATCCCCGTGAGCTTTCCCTTGCCATTGGCCTGTGGCCGATGTGACTTGCCTACAGTAAATAAATACAGGAATTGAAAAGGTCCACAATCACACGTCACCTCATCAGGAGAACGAATTGATAGTACTCACTTGGCGTTGGGGATGTTTTTCACAAAGTACTCCGGATCTTCCATCTCAAAGTATTCGTCCTTTGCACCGTGTACCACTAGCGTGGGACACTGCACTTCACGAGTTTCACGCATGCAGGTTCCATTGCTGCCAGAAGAAGAAAAATGCTTGTAAGAGAAATCGATAGCGTGAAACAATGTATAATCGAATCGTTTCGCGAAAAGAAAAAAAAAAGAAAAAAAAGAGAGCCTGAAATGAACGGTAAGATCAATTTTACATGTCATATTACTATACTTATAGATCGAACAACTGGGTACACAACATCGAAGCTGAGGATGTATGCCGAGAAATGTTTTCTCGGTATAATAGAAATTAAATGGACAGAACCATAGACTTCTGTATTGCATAGAAGTCTATGCTAGAAAGTAATACAAGACAAAACATCAACACATCGTGCAAAATAAGATGTAAGGATGTCAATGCAGTGTCGGTCTCACCTGACGTCTTTGAAGGCGAGCGTCACGTCGACCCACTCGGTCCACATAGAGCGGAAGTAATCCTCTCCGTACAGCTCCAGCATGGGCGCTCGGTCCGCCTCCGACCAGTCCTCAATGTTCCTCATAGCTGCCGGTAACGGAAGAGACAGAACTGTCACCCGACTTTAAGATCCTAGGTCAACCGGTGACCTCTGAGGTCAGGTCAAGCGCCCCAAGGTACGGTTCAGTTTTTGGTGAATAACTTCGCAAAAAACGACCGCAGAGCCGCGATTTTGGCAGCATAGTGTTCGCCTCGCTCAGGCGCGTCGGATGATATACTTTTCGTTTGGGTCAGGTCAACTTAGCTAGCACGTCACAGGTCAGGCGCAGCAGAACACAGAGAAGAGAACACACACTGGGTGTGAGGAGCACACAGGGTTGGCTGTAGTACTGAAAGGAGCGTTTTTAGATTGGTAATGCACGGAAAATGATACACGATACGAATGGCGACCATGCATGAATAAACGGGAAGAGTAGGCATGAATGAATGAATGAATGAATGAATGAATGAAGGAAGGAAGGAAGGAAGGAAGGAAGGAAGGAACGAAGGAAGGAAGGAAGGAAGGAAGGAAGGAAGGAAGGAAGGAAGGAAGGAAGGAAGGAAGGAAGGAAGGAAGGAATGAATGCATGAATGAATGACTGAATGAATGAATGAGCGAAACAAACGAACACGAATGAGCGGGATGACTTTGTTCGCTACCTTTGACGACGTTGCCGAGTTTGTCGGTGTAGTAGGCGTTGGCCCCCCAGATGACGAGTTTGCTGACGCTCTGCGGCCGGAGGGCGGCCAGGATGACGGCCGAGTTGCCGCCGTCACTCCAGCCCAGCACGTGGTAACGCTCGTAGCCCAGCGTCTGAGACACACAATGGGCCATGATAGAGTCGCACAAGCATCTGGTGAAACCCTCCCGAAACCAGTAAATACATAGTGGTATGCTAAGGAACGTACGTACACAACGGTTGACTATAATTGAAGTTTTTGTTATCTTCGTGACTAGAATTACTGCTATGTTGCATTGGAATCATTTAGATCCAGTTGCTGCAACCAGTCACACTCGTGCTGAATATCGAGAGACCCCCGGCTGACTGCGACGGCGGCACCTGTCCGCGGCGACACGCACCTCCATCAGGTCACCGGCCACTCGCGCGTCGTCCGTGTAGAAGTCGGGCCCGAACCGGCGCGGCGGCGGACGGCTCAGGCCGTAGCCGGGCAGGTCAATGGCGACCAGGGTCAGCTCCGGACCGGCCAGAGACTTGAGCTGGTGGCTAAAGTCGCTCAACGCCGAGCCTGAGAGTAAAGTGCGTGAGGTCTTGTGGCACTCAGGCTACACAGTATAACACAGTGCACTTATTGAAGGGGTGCACCAGCTGCAGGCAAGGGAGCGCGTGTAACTCACGATATGAGAAGTTTGCTATAACATACGCTACTTGCTCCCAACCAGCGCAAACATGCTCTTAGCGGGCCACCACCCATACACGAGTAAATGTTAACGGCTACTGTCTCTCAGCATTGACGTCGGCCTTACCGCGCAGCGAATTTCCCCACGTTTTACTGCACACAGACACAAATTAAACGGAAACTACAAAAAGTGACAGCGAAGGGCTTACCAAGGGCTCCAGGTATGCAGAGAGCTACTGTGGAACCACTCCCAGCCTTCTCATAGTTGATAAGTGTATCATTTACCTTGACTTTAGGCATTTTCAATCTGAAAAGAAATAAATGCGTTGTAGAATAATGGCAATATGAGTGAGCAAAACGATTAGATATCGAGTAAAAGCAGTGGTGGATTGCAATGGGCAAAACCGAATGACAGTACATGTAGCATTGTAGATGTAGATGTTACACGCGTAAGATTTGCCATGCTGACTCTTGTAGCCTCAATTTTCGTAATCGTTCGAAGTCAATGCACCAGTTCAAGTACCCAACCAAATGGGATAAACGTCTGCAACATTATTGAGTCTTCATGTCTCAAAATAACTCATTTAATCATTTTTTGTGATTCTTTTTACTTAAGCAAACGAAAAAACTAATCAGTTGCTTACAGTAAACTGTAATACATTTTCAAATCTACCCTTTCAGAGATAACACGCCTTTTCGATATCCCTATTTCCTACATCATAAAAATAACACTCAAAGTATTCTAACTTTGATTGTCCTGTGTTGCAGCTAAACGATCACTAGTGTCAAATGAACACTGGACTTTTGAAGACGACCATTGAGCACAAGTCAAACCGAGTCCCTGGCGCCCAATGATGCACTTACAGAGCGTTGATCGGGCCAATGGCCAGCGATGCTGAGAAAGCGTGAGGTAAGAGCGTCGAGGTAAAGTGGTGATACTAATTTAGTAAGTGTCCAATCGCTGTTCATAATCCAGAGTAAGGGGGCATCGAAAAGGCCGCCGGTCCAAGAGGGAATCGGACAGACGAACTTACATCGGACTCACCTCCGAGCGCTTCTCAGCTACTACCGATCACCCCGCTCCTTTGTGGGGCTACCCAGGCACCGAAAACGATCCATTGATTAAAATCACCCTATCTTGAAGTGAAACCAACGGAGACGTAACAATGGTTTCGGAGCTACTAAAGATCGCCTAGAGCACATGAAACACCAAGGTATAGACTTCTATGGAAGTGGAGAGAAATTCTTACGTCACAACTATGAGTCTCGTATCTCGGAGTCTGGCTGGCATACCTATTCTACCCATGTATCAAATATGACAGCTTTATTGCTTTCATATTGAGCGAGACAGCTTTTTAGCGCTAAATAAATATGATTTTGAGCTGAGGTTCATGGCATAACGTGAGTGTTGAACATCTCGTTGCAGTTGCACATAGCTGACATTCATACGCAGAGAAGCAGTGTCAAATCAGTAAATTGTTTTTTCGCGGTATTTAGGCACGTAAATACCAAGCAAATTAGCGAGTTTTCAGTTAATTAGCAAGTTTTCAGTACATTACCAAGTAACAGGTGATACAGCAAGCTGGCAGGTATTTCGGCAAGTTCAACAAGTTTTTCGCGAATATCTAAGCTTATAGACGTCCGATCAACACGGGAAGAACACCAATCGGTCCCAAATTTCATCTCCTTCATTTTATGGCCAACGCAACGCGAAGAGAGCCAAGATTTATTGTACGTACCTACAAGTATACCTACTGTATATCTACTGCATACCTTCGCATTCCAAAACGTTTAGGCACTTGTCAAGCCTTTTTGGGATTATGAGTACCTTACACACATCCACATCTCATAAAAAACAAGGTTAGCAATGATGATGTATTTGAGTCTTAGTATAATAGCCCATGAACAACTACTACAAAATACGCTAATAGGTATCGTCATCACAGCACATGCAGATCGTGAATCCGCCGGTAAATCCCAAAAACATATCGCGTTAACTAAGCGAGGCAATTCAGACAGCCAAAACGAATAATATAAGCCCTGGTGCAAGCCAGCCGGTCACATACGGCTTATGCATACTGCATACCAGTAGTCTTCTCAGCCTATGCTATTGCTTATATATGTAGGCACGAACACAGAGCTAATAGATACAGCAGTCCCCGGGATTGCCGCAACATAACATAACTACATTTTCTTCAACAAAAACCTCAACTGACCCAGCCTTTCTCCGCAGACTAACTTTTTATAACACCCAAAGTGCATCTCCGTCAACACTCACGATGTACGACTTGTCTTCGGGTGACATTTCATTAAATGATGGTCCCCTCAGGGTGATCACTCTGCCAAAAACACCCTCACGAGTTTGTTGAACTCGTCGGCATACTTCATGTGCAGGTTGTGTTTGCCATCTGGAAACACGTGCAACCTGGAACAAAACAGAAATTACAGATAATTCAAAATCAACTTTGTGATTAATTTATAGATAATATCAATAGTTGGAAGAAAAAGACTACAGAAGATTTTTTAGAATGGTATGTGCATTGCCCATGAACGGAAATGCATAGGCACCAGATTGTTTGAGGCGTTACGCTTGGATGTGGAAAACATAATACTATTGCGGTGAAACCTATGACGTATTTAGGTCTCATGTTTCTAAGACATTATGTACACAGTCAGCAAGATACTAAATACATTTCCACAATAAGGTTATTTCAAATACCGAACTACGATAAAAAAAAGTTTAATTGCTTAGTGAGGGGGTGGCTGTGGTATGTACCACAGCCATGCTGATATTCCGTTAATATTTGTGATTGTCAGGAGGTCACAAATACGGGACATATGGCGAAATACGGGATTCTGAGCGTGTTGGCCAAGCAAACGACTTCATAACGACCAGCACGCCCTTAGCTGCCAATGAACTCGGATCATCCCCGTTTAGCTGTCCAGGCGGAAGCTCGAAACGCGCTTCGCCTCGAACCTCGCTACTGCGACATAAGGGCAGGTGATTCGCCTAGCATATCAAAGCTAAGCTACTAAGCTGCTGTACAAGATGGCTCCAGCTGGCCTGTTGCACAGGACAGCTCTGACCTGGCGTCGGGGATGTGCTGCTTGAAGTACTCCGGGTGCTCGGGAGGCACCATGGCGTCCTTCGCTCCGTGCACCACCAGCGTCGGACAGCGAACCTCGCGAGTCTCCTTTCTGCAGACGCCGTTTCTGAGGGAGATCGATATAACGATCAAGAAATGACGACAGCAATGCTTGCATACGAAAGCATAAGCCCGGGGTACAGTTACTGTACCCCAGTTACGGTGCAGTACTGTACTGCGCGGTAATTATCACCAAGATTGATGCATTTTTAATTGTTAGTGAGCTCGGCAACTCTTGACGGAGTGTAAAGTCTTGCTGACAATCGGCTTAATCCCATCTTAGCTTAAAAAAAACCTTGCCGTCCTCTTTGCATGGGGCATGATTATGACATACAAATGTTAGTATGATGCAAAAAATGTTAACTAGCTACAGCGCTGCCCGACAGTCCCATCATGTTCTTACTCGATTTCTTTGAAAGCTGATATTCCGTCAATCCAGGCGTTCCACGTGGTGCGAAAATACTCTTCTCCGTACATTTCGATCATGGGAGCCTTCATTCTGGCCGACCACTTATCGATGTCCCTCAAGGCTGCCGTGCAGGAGGCGGGAAAATCAGGCCATCAGTGGTGGAACGGGCAAACATACTGCAAAGAAATTAAGAAAGCACTAACTATTTGAAGATTACTTATAGACTGATTAATGTGACCAATGATAAAAATGCTATTGTTTCATAAATGTTACAACAAGAATAATCATTTTAAGGAAAACAGGAACATTCCCACGTACAAATGCACTAACGATGCACGGGACGTACCCTCGTATAGCTCCTGATCTTTATCACCGACGTAGGCGTTGGCTCCCCAGATGACGAGTTTGGTGACGCTCTGCGGCCGGAGGGCGGCCAGGATGACGGCCGAGTTGCCGCCGTCACTCCAGCCCAGCACGTGGTAACGCTCGTAACCCAGCGTCTGGGACACACACAGTCGGCACCCATCAAAACATATCGCTACTGTACGTGGCTCACGAGTCACGTTTGGTTTCACGAAATTTGGTTGGTGTATGTGGTTGAGTTTGTATAAGGTTCTAGTACATATGATGATTTCGGATGGCAGAACCACCCCAAGCAGAGCTTGCTGCGAACGTCCTGTCCTCTACCGACCGATCGAGAAATCACAGACACATGACACAATACAAACTACAAAGCCAAACGTTTATGTGTCTAAGGGCCAGACTCACTCACAGACATAACAATCTAGCCTAAAATCGCAAGCTATGTCGCAGACCGCAAGCTACCCTTGGGCAGTAACAAGCTCCGAAACGGCCTGAGCTGGAGTAAAATCAGGTTCCTGATCATCTAACAGTCGGTACCACAACTAAACGAGGTGCTGTCACATATACCTATTTCGTACATATCTGCCCGTAATACACCGCTGACAGTCCCTTGTTACCTTCATGACCTCGGCTGCCGCTAGCGCGTCATCTTTGAAGAATGTCGGCGGGAACTGCCTTGCCGGTGGCCGACTCTGGCCGTAGCCGGGCGGGTCCCAGGCCACCAGAGTGAGCTCCGGACCGGCCAACGACTTCAGCTGGGCGCCGAAATCCGTCAGCGCCGAGCCTGCAGTCGCCAGCACACCGGAAGGTCAGAGGTGAGTACTGGATGTACCGGGTGTTCCGAAAAAAGTGTCACGATTTTAGTCACGTGCGATTTCCGTAAAAATTGTCCGAAATAGTTTGGCTTAAGATATGTTGCTCACAACCCTTGTCGATTTTGGTGGACAAAACGGTTCACCAAAATCTACGATGGTTTTCTCGCCAGAACAAAAAATCAAAATCGTCCGATTATGGTTCGAGACGAAATCGTACGTCACCGTCCGCCGCCGACTTCGACGCGAGTGTGACATGGAAACTCGAGATCTGCCCTGCAACAAACTCATTGCAAGGTTTGTTAACCATTTTGAGACAACAGGTTCAGTCCTGAATACTCACAGGGGCAGCAGCGGCAGGCCAGCATCGGTTTCAAAGTCCCCAGAGACCATCGCGGCCGTGCGAAATTCCGTCATTGCCAGTCCCAAGAAGTCGCTCCGTCGACGCTCTCAACAGCTCGGACTTGCTAAAACCAGCGTAAGACGAATCCTATGCGACGAGCTAAAACTGTCATCGTACATAATATCCACCAGACATAAGATGACGGATCGGGACAGGCAAAAGCGGCAAGTCATGTGTCAATGGATCTCCAACAAGATGGAGAGGAACGCGCGGTGGGTGAACCGAGTCTGGTTCTCAGACGAGGCTCACTTCCACCTGAACGGTGCGGTGAACAACCACAACAACACTTTCTGGGGTAACTCACCACCGGAAGAAGTAACGGAGAAGCAGCTGAAGGGCCCGAAGGTCACTGCCTTCGTGGCCTACAACGCCACTCACGGCCTCCTCGGTCCCTACTGGTTCGAAGAAGATGGCCGGACCGTCACCATCAATGGCGAGCGCTACCGCGAGGTCATCCGGGAATTCTACGCGGATCTGACCGATATGCTCACCGATAACCAACTGCAACAGGCATGGTTCATGCAAGACGGAGCTCCGCCTCACACTGCGCGTGAGAGTATCGAATGCCTTAAGGAGCTGTTCAACGCTCGCCTCATGTCTCTCGGCACCGCCCATGAGTGGGCTCCCCACAGCCCTGATCTCAACCCGCTAGACTTTTGGCTGTGGGGGGCTGCCAAGGACACTGTGTACGCAGGCAAGCCCAAGACACTGGTCCAGCTTAAGCAGAACGTCGAAAGATACCTGCATCAAGTCGGTCCCGAGACTCTGACGAAAGTCGCTGAGAGTTTCCAGGCCAGAATCAAGGCGTGTCTCAACCGCGGTGGTGCCCATATCGAGAACGTGAACTACAAGAAGTTCGCGTAAACTTGTGATCGCAGGAACTCCTCTGCCCTCTGGCAAGGAGTTATAGCACTGATACGAGAGTAACCTTGTTGAAAAACGACAAACGTGAGCTTTCATATCCCGCGCCCTGCTGGGGGGGGTGTTTGAACACCCCCCCTTGTGGTTTTTCGCGAATATCTCAAAAACGGCGGCGCGGAGCGCCGCCGTTTTTGGTACACCTTATCATACATCAATTCTACACATGTTGTGAAAATTTCAGACCAAGGTCATTCAAGGTCAGGTCACCAGGTCACTTGAAGTGACCTCACCTCATGAAAACTTTCAATGTCTGTCATAGCTACACCGAGTGACCGATCGCTTTGAAACTTTCAGCGATTGCTAAGAGCAATAGCATGTACAAAATGTATATCTCAGAATTTTGATATCGATAACCTAAGGTCAGGTCAATTTTGCGACCTCCCCATTATAAGTCAATGGGAGAAAATTGAAATGCGCGTCTTTTGGATGAAAGACATTATAAACACTCCCAACCACCGAATTACAAGTGGTTTAGACACACTGAACATGAAAATGGTGTCCGTGACCCTTGTTTATGCCCTGAGGTCATCTTAGGTCACGAATGGTATCTAACAGTTTTTCGCAAATAACTTTTGATAGAGGCATGCTAGAGCGATGAAAACGCCTTAGATGTGTTCAGCTCGACGATACGGATCGACTGATATGCAACATGACCCTTTCCGGTCAGGTCATGACCTTGACCTGAGGTCAAATTTTCAAGTTGACCTTTCAAGGTCAAGTTATAGTTCATTCGATGCGTCTTGACGAGAGGAACACGATGCCGGTTAAAGTAAGCTCGTACAAGGCTTGGGTCAAAAGTTATTGCAGAAAAACTGTTTTAAAAAAAATCGGCTATTTTTGCAGTTTTTGCCCCCTGCAGGAAAAACCGTTGACGTTAGGTCAAATCTGAGGGAATTAATCAGAAAGGGCGTTAATAGGGCTATCGAATGCGCTTTTCCGCGGCGCTGTAGCTCTATTGGTTCCCGAGTTATGCGTTGGCTTCTTGGAAATTTTCGACATTCGACCTAGAAATCGGCGAAATTTTGCCTTCAATGACCTCTGGTGACCTGACCTTTGACCTGACCAAAAAATTGACCGAAACGATTTCGTCATTATTTTTGACGCTCTTTCGAACGCCGCCTTCCGCGTATCGCTACGTAGCCCAGGAGCCGAGTTACAAGGGGGGGTGTTCAAACACCCCCCCCCCAGCAGGGCGTGGAAATCCAGGACCCCCAGCCGGGCGCGGGATATGGTGTATGTTTTAATGCGTTAATACTTGTCAAGCGTTTATAATACACGTTTGAAACTGTGACACTTTTTTCGGAACACCCTGTACATATATCGACACCTTTTAATCACAACTTAATCGATTTTTTCATTTAATCACCACTAAATCGATTTAGCGAAATTTCACGCGCGTTTTTCTCGGAAACTATTTACCTTATGCAAAAAATGAACGTATATACTATACATGGTTTTAGCTATCACCTAATCCTATGTTTACATTTTTTAATTGTGCCTAAATGCTATGATAGAGCAAATCCATTTTTCAAAATCGGCTTAGCTTGAGCCATGGAAACGTAGCTAAGTAAGATACTTAGTATGGGTACAACTGTCAGGACGTCACAAAGTTTATTCCATTCGGAAATAGATAGCATTTGACGAAACTAGATAGCATTGATATTGAATATAAAATATTGGTGCATTCAGCGCAACACCTACCCATGGCTCCGGGCATGCACAAAGCGACTGAGGAGCCGCTGCCGGCCTTCTCGTAGTTGATGTTCATGCCATTGACAGCGACATTTGCCATGTTCCTGTAAAAAAAATGTCAAGTTAGTGAGCTGAAATATTGCCGAATTAAAGCGTGTACCTAGGCACAGGATGGTTATTATGCCTCATATGATTACTGAATAACCTTAAGTTCGGGCTATTTGAGTTTTACGGTTTTCTGCCTCCCTAAAAAACGCACATACCTATTTCTTATAACAAGCAAATTGCAAAATGTGGTTTTTTGTGACCTTTCTCAGCTTGGCCTGTTTTTGTACAGACTTGACACAATGATTATCAAAACGGTTACAAAATATTGTTTTTTTCAGCAAAAACAAATGAGAGAGATCAGTCTCCGGTTCCTACACAGTACACATAATCAAATATTTTACCGTTGAATAACCTCTTACCGCGCAGCATCTTACCTAGTGTTGCGAGTAGAATCTTGCAAGACGGACTTCAGAAGGTTTCGACCGCATCTCGGTAACTGCTTCGCCAAATGCTGAAACATGTTTCTTGGTGCAGAATAATCTACAAAGAAAAGGTTTTTGTCAGACGACAGACGCAGTACAAAACAATCAAATTAAGAAAAATGAATAATAGATACACAACACAAATTCGGGAGTGAAGTTTCGAATCCAATCAATCATGCCGAAGGACTTTCAAGCAACGCATAAGTTGTACACATACATACCTACTTAAAGGGGTGGAGGCAGATGGACTCCCTTATTTTTCTTTTACGAACAACCGGCGTAAAAAGCGGCGGATGGCGACGAAACTTGCCGTACCATCGCGTTAACCCTCGCCGGCACAGGGGGGCTGATGCAGCCCCCCCCCCCAAAGGTCTTTCGCAAATAACTCGCGTAAAAAGCGGCCCACGCGACGAAACAATCAGTACCCTCGTGTTGATAAATTTTACACCTACCCCGAAAATTCATGACCCTGACCCAAACGACCTTTGACTCGTGACCTATTTCCCGAGACCATGCTTGGCCGTAATTGCGATTCGGCGTATGTTAGCTCACATTATAAGCGTTTCCAATCTTTTTGTGGTTGTAAACGGTCGAATGGAATGATGACTAGGGTGGGTGTTTTGGTCATTGATTTTAGGTGACCTTGCTTCACTTTTTTGAGTTATAGGACAGGTACAGCCCTCTGCAAACTGCGTGGTATGCATTCTTTCTTCGACAAAAACGATAATAACGCGGATACTATGCTATCGGTCACTCAGAAATCTTAACAGCAAAACGCGCGAGACTGCGCACCATACATTGGCATTACCATCGTATTTATTTTCCATCCAGTTAGGCAACAAAACCCAAAAGTTTATAATTGCCTCCAAAACAAACTTTTGCATTTTGTTGCAACACAAGGCATATAATTTGTTCAGTGATAGACCCAATAAGGATTGGAGCATGGCACCTCTATTTGCCGTGAGTTCCGACCGACTGATAACATCTGTCTTTGAGTTATTGCCGGTTTTGTCGAAAAAAAAGAATACCTACAACGCAGTCTGCTGAGGGCTGTACATGTTTCTAAGGCAGTTTTTTTTTTAGCTGATTTCGAATTTAGCACCCACTTGAACATTTACCAAGCAGTTCTAATTTCTACGTAACATGTTACGAAGCTGTCAGTAGTGGTCGACACCTCATATGGATAAGCCGACGGACGCCTCCCGGTTGACCTGACCTGACCTGACCCGACCTGGTCTAAATGCATGCAGACATAATCTATGATAAAATAACTAAAATGAAATTTTTGATCGGCATCCCTCCCCCCAAAAAATCATAACCTCACTTTACGGAGTTCTAGCAGACCCCAACTTCCCTGACTTTTGGGTCATCGACCTGACCCAGAAGGTCAACCAATGACCGTACCGTAAAATTGGGTATCATTAGCTTCCTCTCGACACGGGCAACATGCTCGTTTTTCATCCGCAAAGCTCTAGCTCGATCAGGGGCCGAAGAGTAGGAGGAGTCCAAGACTACGCCCCCCCCAAGATTACTCTACTAGCCCCCCCCCCCCCTACGCTAGATGCTGTAAAAAGGCCAATACGGGCGAGGTTTAATAATCAATTGCATACCTATCGGCTAAAAAATCACGGACCTGATCAAGTGACCTGTTACAGGTCATCTGCACGTTTCAAACTTAACCCTATTCCTGGCGGGGGGGCCTCAGGAGCCCCCCCCTGAGGTTTTTTGGTTATTTCTCCCAAACGCTTTGAGCTAGGAAGCTCAAATTTTCTGACTTTTCCTAAAAGGCTTTTACGCAACATTTCTGAAAATTTTGAGTTGATCTGACCTCAGGTCAGGTCACCAGAGGCGGTTTGGTGACCCTACCTCAGAAAAGTTTGCAATCACGCCAGAGCTAGAGTTTTTGACCGATCAATTTCTTCTCTTCAGGCTTTAGTAAGGGTACCAGTATGTGCAATTTGTATATCTCAGAATTTTCATATCTGTGACCTGAGGTCAGGCCAGACTCGTGACCTTTACATTGCAAGCCTATGGGAAAATATTGAAACGCCTCCTGTTTCGTGTAAACGAGTCAAAACCACCCAGTTCTTTCAGTATTATGGAAGATTATCTCATCGGTGATAATCCTGGTGCCGCTACACTGAAAGAAAAGTACACCCAAAATTGGAATAATTTTACGGTGCCTAAATCTCCAACCCTAAGTGATCATTCTACTCCCCCGTGTAAACTGCTTTAACATGGGCGATTAGCGACTATTTTTACCACCGGGTGTTGTCAAATAACTCCCATGAGCTTAAAAATACACCCACTCTGGAGTAAAAGTACGGTGCCTAAAAGTCCAACCCTAAGGAATTATTTTACACCCCCGGTGTAGGGGAGTAAAGGCGAATAAAGCATGCGATTTACGAGAGTAATATTGCACTCCCAGTGTAATAATATCAAATCGGATTTCACCCCCTGCTTCTGAGTGTAAAAAAAGTAAATAGCATAAATACACCAGAGTAAAAAAAAGTTGAAGGAGTAAAAATAAATCACATTATAATTCACGTTGAAACAAAAACTCAAAAAGATAATTCTATGACTGAAAAGGCTTGGAGTAAAATTACCCCGAGTTAAATATACGCTACTGTTTCAGTTTACCCTCTGGTGTATTTCTATGTCTAGGCTGCAATGTAATGGTATATCGTCTGCTTATACATACTTTGAACCAAAATTCATGATGAAGTCAAACGGATGGCATGCGATGACCATTTCGGATAGTATCGTGTAACCATGAGATGTCAGATACGCTATGGGCAGGATACGCATTGTGAACGCGCGGTACGAGGGATCCGAAATTATGTACAATAAATAAAACAGTGATGTCTGCCAGTCGGTGCAATAAAACGTGACTGCTAATAATGCAAATAGTAATTAAGAAATATCATGTTTAACACATATCATGTATTGATCATAGTTCAATCACAGTACAATCACTGGCTTCGATCTCGATGAGTTTGATTACGTTATATCACAGACACTTTGATCACAAACAAACCACCCAATCACTTTGTTCTATATGTACATGGGGTTGCGCAGTGCGCACGTAAAATACCCGATTTGAAACTTGAATTGGCTAAGGGATAGTTAGCCCAGTTAGCTTCCAGCATAGTTAGCCAAATTGAATATTTTCATACAATGTGATACACGTTTGGGAAGACATTCTTCCAAGTTTTAGATAAATCCATTCACGTTCAGCTCAGTTGTGCTGTGCACCTCGACGTGACTCCTATCGTTTTTCAGTACTTTCTCGAGGCGCTCGCGGTACGCCAGCGCTGCTTTCTAGCGCATCTCGACGGTGATCTCTGCGAAGGCGGCTCTGAGCCGACCGTGTAACTTCGGAATGTTCGCCGTCTGCGTCAAGTATGCATACGACTTCACAGACCCCCACATGAAAAAATTCACGCGCGGGGTGAGGTTGGGCTTCGCCCAAACTGCCCTGGCCACCGCACTCGCCCAATTTGCCCTGGCCACTGCGCTAGCCCGACCTCACCCCGCGTGTGATTTTTTCATGTGGGGGTTTGTGAAGTCGTAGGCATACTTGACGCAGACAGCGAACATTCCGGAGTTACACGGTCGGCTCAGAGCCGCCTTCGCAGAGATCACCGTCGAGATGCGCTAGAAAGCAGCGCTGGCGTACCGCGAGCGCCTCGAGAAAGTACTGAAAAACGATAGTGGTCACGTTAAGGTGCACAACTCAGCTGAGCGTGAATGCATTTGTCTAAAACTTGGATGAATATCATCCCAAACGTGTATCTACGTATGTACATTGTGTGAAAATATCATCAAATTTGGTTAATAATCATGGAAGGTATTAAAGTTTCAATTCGGGGGTTTTCCGTGCGCCACCCTGTACTTTGTACTCTTGGCGCTTAAACATGAAAAACTTTGAAACATGAAACGCACGCAGACCACGCAGTATACAGTATACACTCTTCGTCTGTGGGTCTGTGCTAGATCTGAGCTGCCGACATGACAAGAGTGGCGTACCGCAATTGCCAGTACTCTCGCACGCGCATCTTGCACTCTACTCAGCCAGGGAGCACACTATCTTCTACGATGCTTTACTTAGTGAAATAGATGTTTAGGGCCTTCTTGTAGAGCACCTCGAAGAGGCACTTGCATGGTCAACAGAACGGAAGATAAAACACGGCATGAGTTGCAAGGATTGTGGCAACTTCACCGGCCTTCGACTGTGGCAGCTCGAACTCGCTCTCTGAACGTTGAGGCGGGACGACTGAACACTCACGGAGCTCTGCTCGTTCTTCAGATCGTCCAGCGTCGCCCCGCGCCCGTAGGCGGGTAGCGCCACCAGTTCGTCACCTGTGAAGAGGAAAATAAATTAACAATGATTTCCCGACACAGCGGAGCCAGGAGAATAAACATTATTGTATGGTTACTCCCGTTGAAGCCTCAGCCCTTCGGGACCCGTCAGGAGCGCGGCTCGCTGCCCTTCCGTGGTGCAACTGAGTGAGATATAAATTGTCTGCATGTATTCACCGGTTCAGGATGCAATACGTAACATTACTTTTACTATTGAGTAAAGATACATCTCAGATATTTGTATACGGATAGAATCAAAATGATAAATCACATAAAGTTTTAATTATAATTACGCATCTTCAAGTCATGAATGAACATAGTGTACTAATTTCGCCGGGACCAGAGAAAGGCCACAATGCCAACGCTGGTAACTTGTCTGTAAAGAGGGACATAAAGTAACCAATGACCCCGCATTCCGCAACCACCGTTGACCGTTCCCCCATGTGCGTTATACGTAGGTAGGATGAGAAAGTAGGGGAGAGTGGGGCACATTCGTGCAAAAAATAGATAAATCCATATATCTTTTCTTTGGTTAGTGCAATGGCAAAATTGTTGATTATAGTATGGAAAGGAACTATTGCATGATATTTTTCCTCTTTAAAAGTTATCCTCTAAAATTATTGCTTCTATTAGAAAAAAATGACTTTTAGCTGAACGTTTGCACGAAACTGCCCCACCTATGGGGCACATTCGTGC